GATCTAAATAAGGTGACTGAAGATCTGATTTCAAGAATTTTCACATCTTAACCCTTTCACTCCCAAGATCTCATTAGCAATTCTTCTTACTGTCTGCTATACAGTTCTTATGATGTTAGTTTGTAGAATTTGGTATTGGATCAACTGATAACCCCCTGATTTTCTTTTTTCCTAATTCTCATTACTTAATTGTCTGCTTGATAGTGTAATGATATTGTAAGGAGAAATTCTGCCTTGATCACTCATGGGAGGGAATGAGATTTACAACAAACAACAAATAACAAACAACAAATGGCCAAAATTGAACTTTCTGTTGTCTTCTGTCAGCTTTTAATTAATTAATTAAACTGATGTTATACATGGAAATTTTTTCAGCTCTTCTTTAGAGTTGATTGAAGAACCCCAGGAAAAGTAGAAAAATTTTTTTTTCATTTTGTTTTTTGCCAATTGCTGTAAACATCATGCCCAAACTCTCTAATATTTGTAAAGTAATCTGATTTCCAGGTCTGATTTCCAGGTCTGATTTCCACTATTGCTCAAATAGTGCTTTACTGCGAAGGATCGTTCTTATATACATTTGTAAAGTAAGTTAATTCTATAAAATGTTTCCTTTTTTTTAGATGCGATTGGGATTGATCATTGATCTGACAAACACAAGTCGTTTTTACGACAAAACAGCTGTGGAAAAGACAGGAATCAGACATACCAAGATGCAATTAGAGGGGTTTGGACCATCTCTTGTTTATTGTAATTGATTCATTTGATTTTTAGATTATAATGTATCTAATGTTTGTTGATCCCTTTGTAGGCATGGGGAGACACCCTCGAGAGAGCAAGTTCAGTTATTTATTAAGATGTGTGATAGTTACTTCAGTCACAACCCAGGGGAATTAATAGGTTGGTGTATCATTTTGTCAGAATTGTCTTGTACTTTCATGGTTTTCTGAGTACTATCTAGAACAGACAGCAGTTTGATTTAAACTTTTCTTTTCTATTATGGTATTATGCTTTAAAACAGATTTGTGGAATAGCGAGCATTAGCAGTTGTTTGCTTGAGCTGTAGATGAATTAGAAAGAAAAGGAAAGTATCATAAACCTAGCTACTCCCGTAATGCAAAAGAAACTAGATTCATAAGTTCCAGCAAAATGAACCACACAATTCCTGTTCAAACTTACTTAAGACCTCACATTTGCTTGTATGACTGTGTTTTTTCTTCAATCTGTAGGTGTTCACTGTACACATGGTTTCAATAGGACTGGTTTTTTGATAATTGCATATCTGGTGGAAAGAGATGACTGGAGGTAATTGAGCTGTAAGAATAATTTCTAACACCATGCAGGTTTATTAAACCAGAAAGTTTTTTCTATAAATCTCCTTCCACCTCAGTCATCTTTTTTTTTGTTTTTTTTTTTCCCTTTTGGTTTCCTCAACTGATATACACATATGTATCTTTATTTACTAGACATTTTGTTGTGTAGTATTGCTGAGTATTTTTACGAGTTGTGCCATATTTTGACGAGCCTGTAGGGTGAGTCAAAATACAAATAACGAGTAAAAATACTCAGCGATACAACACACCAAAGTGTCTTATAAGTTATTTATCANGTTACTTCAGTCACAACCCAGGGGAATTAATAGGTTGGTGTATCATTTTGTCAGAATTGTCTTGTACTTTCATGGTTTTCTGAGTACTATCTAGAACAGACAGCAGTTTGATTTAAACTTTTCTTTTCTATTATGGTATTATGCTTTAAAACAGATTTGTGGAATAGCGAGCATTAGCAGTTGTTTGCTTGAGCTGTAGATGAATTCGAAAGAAAAGGAAAGTATCATAAACCTAGCTATTCCCGTAATGCAAAAGAAACTAGATTCATAAGTTCCAGCAAAATGAACCACACAATTCCTGTTCAAACTTACTTAAGACCTCACATTTGCTTGTATGACTGTGTTTTTTCTTCAATCTGTAGGTGTTCACTGTACACATGGTTTCAATAGGACTGGTTTTTTGATAATTGCATATCTGGTGGAAAGAGATGACTGGAGGTAATTGAGCTGTAAGAATAATTTCTAACACCATGCAGGTTTATTAAACCAGAAAGTTTTTTTCTATAAATCTCCTTCCACCTCAGTCATCTTTTTTTTTCTTTTTTTTTTTCCCTTTTGGTTTCCTCAACTGATATACACATATGTATCTTTATTTACTAGACATTTTGTTGTGTAGTATTGCTGAGTATTTTTACGAGTTGTGCCATATTTTGACGAGCCTGTAGGGTGAGTCAAAATACAAATAACGAGTAAAAATACTCAGCGATACAACACACCAAAGTGTCTTATAAGTTATTTATCAGCCAATATGCCAAATTATTATTTCTGAGTGCAGGCGAATTTTGCAGATATTTATTTACGGGGAGTGCAAGTGAGAAGTATGCAAAGCGGAACGGAATTCGTTCACTGTTATGTTGCTATTTTCTTCAATAAATGATGAAATTTCATCGTCATCTAACTGCTCTTCTTCATTTGATTTATCTGATAAACTTGGATCATTCTGACTCTTTGTTGTCAGAAAAAAATTTAAATTGTGTACCATTTTTTTAGCGACTTCAATTCCAATTTGTCGATTTTATGATGCAATGCAAGAAAACCTGTCTAACCAGTTCTCTNCGACAATGAAGAACAGAATGGGAGAAATGTGGGAGAGGGGAGTCACTCTGAAGGGAGAAGGAAAAAGATGCGAAGGGATCCAAGATTGAAGGTCAATTTTTCTTTGAAGTCTTGTCTTTTCATCATCATTCTTATCGTTATCATTGCTGTTGTTGTTGCGAAAATATAAGGGAGTTAAAGAAAACCACGACGGCAACGGCAATGGGAACGTCACTGTACTAAAACAAAAGGTTTAATGTCAGCAGAACAGTAGCTGTGCACGTGCGTTGTAAATCTTTGTAAATTTTATTTGCGTCCTCTACAAAACAACAACGTGAAATGACCAAACTTTGCGTTGTCTAGACGTGAACGAAGACGGTTAATTTGTAAGATTTTTATTTCTAATTTACCGCTTTGTTCCATATTCAGTTTCGAAATACTTTTGAGATTGAGAAACAAACTATGTGACCTAAGAATATCGCGAGATTTGAAGGTAAAATATAAGTACACTTTTTAACAGACGTTGTTCCCGGCGTGGCCATAGTCGTGTCTTAAACTCCCTAATAAAGAGGGAATTACAACACATGTAGTTTAAAAAAGTAAACCCATGTTTTGTGTTTACAGGAAGCAAAATTTATGGATGAGGTGGAAGGGATAGAGGTAGTCAATTCAGCCAGAAGAGAAGAAATCCAAGAAATATGTGAAAAAATGTGCGCTTGGGAAAGGTGAGAAAAATTAAAGGCTTAGGAAGAAATATGGCAAGAAATTGGCGAAACTTGATTATAAAAGGAACGATAGGCTTAAGGTCAAAGAAAAGAACTTATGACTGTCAAACTAAGTCTACTCGTCAGTTCGATAGGAATGAAATAGCATGGGGAATATACACAATGATGTTAAGGTATAACGACTTAAACAGTTCTTATGTCCATATGAAAAAGAAAACAATAATTTAATTGGTATTGAACTTTAAAAAATTGCGATACAACTTTTTTTATAACATTTTATTATATAGATACTGATGAAATATCAGGATTGTTTCCTTTTACTACAAAATCATATCTTCATCGCGCGCGGTGAAGATACTATTTTATCTTTCACGTGCGAGGATATTGGTGTCGCCATGGTTACTAACATGCTGTTATAGAATTTTTCTCTTCATTAGAATTTTGATTTTTTGAAACAGAAACTATAAGTATTATTGTCTTTATTTCTCCATTATAACTTTAGATCCGAATTTCATAACATTTTTGTGACAGGCAGTTTTTGATAGGTAACCCCTTTAACTGCACGAAAATGCATCGAAAATGAATTTCAAAAAATTGTGTTTTATGTGGAAATTTCATCAGTATCTATATCCTCTCTACATGCATACATACATACATACATACATACATACATACGTACATACGTACATACGTACGTTAGTCGACCACTCCCCATGAGGGCTTTTCAGGGCCAACTCCCACCCATCCCACTCCAGGGGAGGACATCCACAGCACAGTAATCTCGTGCGTGGGAAATTAACGTCTCCTACCCCTAACCCTGCAGGAGACGGGGCCTACGGTTTATTCGTCTTTATCCGTGAAGACTAGAATATCTATCCGTTTCTTGATTATAGAAAGGTAGCAAATTCTCCTCACTTATTTTAAGACCACGAGTATCGGTCCGATTCTATGTAGTACATGAAAAAATTTAGAAAGCTAGAAAAACCTAGTCGACGACGTTTTGACGCTAACGTAACGTGATCATCAAGTCAAGAAAGTGATGAAGTAATTCGGCTCTAAATACCAAAGACAACAATAGGTACTGATTAAAACGTGTAACAATTTTTTACAACGTTTTTAAGACATTCATTTAATACGTTTAGATTTTCTGCGTTTGGTTTGTTGAGCCAGGGAGAAAAGAATATTCGATGTTTAAACAGTTCTTTCACCTTCTGTAGTTACCTTTCTTCCAGTGGAGGATTTCCAGGAAGCCAGCCAGTATCCATGGATGTCCAGAATATTAAGTTACTTCACGAAAAACCTTACAGAGTCAGTTGGAAAGCAGATGGCGTGAGGTGATTTTATTTGAAGCCAGTTTAGATTCGGGATAAAGGAACTGCGAGTTCGCCAGTTTGGATTTAGCACTACTAACTTGCAAAATATGAGTTGTTCGTATATTTAATTTTGCGTTTTTCAGGCGAGAGGAATCAAGCGTGATAAGGAAGACCCGCGCGAGGATTGGAGCGTGGAAAAAATCCCGCGTGTCTCGCCCCTAGTGCTCCTTTCGGGCTTAACTCCGCTGAACTTAAAGACGCCAAAAAAAAATTACGTCTGCTTTGCAGAAACCATGTCAACGCCCAGTATTCTGGGCTCTCTTGACTTTACCTCTAATCATTCGCCATGCTCAACTGTCTGGAGCCGGCGTGACTTATGGCGAACGAGTGCTCTGTATTTTCTTGGTGAAAATTATAACCACCATTTTTGATTTTTACAAAGGAGAGAGGAGTTGGTGGGGTAGTAGAAATCACGCCTCCCCCTCCCCTTCCCTCACCGTCAACTCTAAATCAAACATGGCCGGTCGATAAACGATCGCGAGATTTAAATACTGAACGTTAGTTAACTCACGCTAATAAGACGCTCGCACTGCAGGCTAGCTTCTAGCCCGGTTAGTCTAAAAACTAGTCGCTGCATTTGTTCTTTTTTCTTCAGGTACATGATGCTGATTTTAAAAGAAAGAGAAATATACTTGATAGACAGAGATAATAACGTGTTTACTGCACCGCAGTTCTATTTCCCTCAGCGTAAAAACCTCAAAGAGCACATTTATGACACTCTGATTGATGGGGTAAGAGACCATGGTGTTACTTACATGTACTAGACTAAAACTTAATTGTGAACTTGCCGTAGATATTTTGAGTCGTATTCTGCGTCGTATCAAGTGATTGAATCAACAAAATATCACCTGAGTTAGATCGAAAAACACTTAAATTAGTAGAATGGACCAAGAAATAACCAGGACAGGTAAGGATTGAGAAGATTGATTCGGATTGCCAATTTTCAATCCTCACTTGCTTAGCTCCATGCACTGCCGCTGATGATCATCGGGAGTCAGTCTGTTCCCGCAGCGAATGGGAATTTCTTACTATATTCAGGTTAACTCTGGTACGGTGGACTGTGGTGACAACTTTTAGGACTTTTCTGACACTGCGAAGCAGCCTTTGAAACTAAATTTTAATTTGTTACGTTCTGTTTTAGGAGATGGTTCTTGACAAGGAAAATGGAAGAGTTCACCCTCGATACCTCGCTTACGACATAGTTAGATTCCAAGTAAGTTATTTTTTATTTGGTATTTTTATCAGGTAAAGCTGTTCCCAAATCGATGCTCTGTAGCTTACTTGTTAGACGCAGTTCTAGCCTCGTTGAAGTCTGACATGTTGTGAAAGATTCTCCATTCTGTATTTGTTTTTGTTAAGTTTACTCGTGAGGGTCTACTTGTCAAGTACAATTTCAACAGGTTTATTTGTCACTCGCTCCCAAAATGTGTCTATGTGATTCAGTTGGTAACACTGAGCACTCAACCGTTTTCTGGGAGGCATGAAGTCATGCTTGTCGAAGAGTTGTTTCTCTAATGCTGTCCAACTTCCTGTTTTTACTTTGAGAATCAAATCTGCCCACACTCCCTGTCTATTCTCACTAACGATACCTCGCATTGTGGATTGTAAATCAGTTCATGTTATTTTATCTGTAGGGGCAAGAAGTCGGAAAACAAAGCCACGACATCAGAATGATTTGCATTGAAAAGGAAATTGAAATGGCTCGAAACCAAGCAGTAAGTAATTGAAGTAAATGTATATTTTTCTGTCAGTCAGTCCGTCAGTCAGTCAGTCAGTCCGTCAGTCAGTCAGTCCGTCAGTCAGTCAGTCAGTTAATCAGTCCGTCAGTCAGTCATTCCGTCAGTCAGTCAGTCCGTCAGTCAGTCAGTCAGTCCGTCCGTCCGTCAGTCCGTCAATCCGTCAGTCCGTCAGTCAGTCCGTGGTCTGAATGTCTCTCCCTGAATAAGGGCGCTAACTTTCTGAAACCGTGAGAGAGATTCAAAGGCAGACGTTTCGAGTGTCATAACCCACGTTTGAGGGAATCGAAAAAGGGCTAACGTGGAAACTTCAGCTCAAAAACGTATTTACGGTGACCAATTCACATCAACTAAGTTGATAAAGCCAAGTCTATTTGGCTGTCTGTCTGTGTGGTTGATATTTGCTCATTCGAGCGTTGAATAGTTCGAGTGTCACCTCAAATTTCTCCTTTTCTTTTTCCATTATTTTTTGCCTTGTTATTAACTCCCGCCAGATCACTGTATTGATTTTTACCATCCGGCAAACCTGAAATGCGCTTTTCAACGTTTTATTTCCCTTTTTTGTAGGCCCAGCAAGGACTCTTGGACAAGTCGAAGGAGCCGTTCAGCATTAGAGCGAAAAAATTCTTTCCAGTCGAGAAAGCAGAGTGGGTAGGTCTTTACGAGTCTAAAATAAAATTATGGATGGATAGTTTTTATTTTAATTATCTTATTTAAATTTCTTCTTCTGAGTGACCACTTCACGCTCTATCCCCGAAGAGGAATTGTGTTATTCAATCAATCAATCAATCAATCAATCAATCAATCAATCAATCAATCAATCATTCAATCAATCAATCAATTTTTTATTGTGGATACATAAAAGGAAGCGTCGGAGGTTATCCCTATGATCAGTCTTCGTAAAACTGAGGCTAACTCTGGGAGCATGAAGGGCGACTGCCTCTCTACTTCGTAAAAATCTGGCGATATTTAAACAGATTACTTTTCACGTTATCATTTCGTTTCTTTTGGCTGACGGCAATTATCATTGAATGTAAGGAAAAGTGTAGAGTGGCACCTTCACATTCTTATGTGCGTTTGAAATTTTGTTCCATAGGTGTTAGAAAACTGGAGTCCTAAACTTACCCATGAGAATGATGGACTAATATTCAACCCCGCCGAGGAGGTAAGTTAAACTTAACTAGTGAAAAATATTTGATGAAAGGCAAGCTGCGATGGCTCGTTGTTTAGTACCTCCGAATCGAGAGGTCTGGGTACGAAGTAGACTCAACGCGAGTGATAAAGTAGCCACTGGATTTAGCTTAGTATCTGATTGGTTGAAAGCGGGTGTTAGCTTTTCGGATCAATCATAAAGCGTAGAAAGGAACAACTTAAGTAATTTCGGATTACTTACAACATTCAAATGAATTTATTGCTCTGAAAATTTTGCCATTGCTTTCTGTTTCAGCCATATGAAGCCGGACAGAGCTCTGAGTTACTGAAATGGAAACCAACGACGCTAAACTCCGTGGACTTCGTTCTCAGTATAAGGACTGTTCGACAAGAAGGGTATGTTAATAATGGTTGTTAAAAGTCTGACCTGCAATGATGCAAAACCTGAACTGCTCTCACCAGGCCGTTCTGAAAAATGGCGGCTAAAGGCAAAGAAACAAATTTGTCACAAATTTCTTAAAATTTACCCTTTACACGTTGAAATCAGCTTGCATGTTCCCCATACTGTTCTCTATACATTTCCCAAGGTTCTGACAAGGACAATTTGTTTCAACAATCAAGAGCCCATTAAGTAGGTGATCATGCCCGTTATTCTCCTTGCGCTTAACGCTTGATTCCGGGGCGACATTGCAGGGAGAAACTACATGCTGGTCTGTCAGTCACTTTCATGAGGCAAAGGGTTAAGCGAGAGAAATTGTGTTAAATAATCGTTCTTCTTTTTTTTTTTAAGGTGCATTCCTCAATTAGTTGGTGCTCTTATGGTCGGTGGCTTTGACCAACCGTTTGCCCAAATCAAGGTTTGTGCAGATACAG